GGAAATCAGAAATCAAGGTCCCAACCTAATTACTTTGCGAATACCCACATCTTACCTCTGCCAAGCCATTGGTCCCTGAGCCAGTCGTCCAAAACATGGACACCCCCTAGCCCCCCAGCACCCCCTTCATTTAGGCCAAGCACTGCTGCACTGGGTAGGAGGGGGACCCATGGCCTGGGAGACAAGGCAAGTGGTCCAGCCCTGCTTTGGCACTGATTAGCCTGTGACTTTTAAATAACACTGGCAACTGGCAGTTATTGGGCCCCACTGCATACCAGGCCCTCCCCACATTATTTAATACTCTGATAGTTGATTGAGGGACAGTCATTGTCCCCCCTCTCACAGAGGAGAGACCCAGGCCCAGAAGGGCCGAACTGGCCCTTTGTGCACATGGTTAGTGACTAGGAGAGTCAGGGTGTCCAGCTCCTAACGGGTGCTCAATATACATTTGTGGGAGGAATGAATGAATGAGTGAGTGAGTGGTGTCCTCCCAGGGGTTTGGCCTGCTGCAGGGCCTGGAAACACCCACCCATGGCCCTGCCCACATCTGTGTCCTCTGGACCATTGTTCACTGTTCTGCTTGCTCCTCACTGTTGGTGGCATCCACTTAGTCCGGGGCCAGGGTCTCTCCTGCAGGTCTAACCCCACTGGGCACAGGACTTCGTCGGGTAAAAGGAAATACGAGACCAGAGTTGGTGGGAGCGCCAACAGGGAGAAGACAAGCGAGGGCTTCCAGCAGGACCCTCCCCACCAGGTCTCCTCCAACTGGTCTGCCGATTCTGCCAACACCCAACACATTTGATAACATTAAGCAGCCCTCAAATCAGGAAATTCAGCTTTTCAACCCCCTACTACTCCTGTGATGTCCATAAGGTAAATGAGCAGCTTCTCCGCTCCCGTCCGGGGGACACCCCATTTCCTGGCTGTGGCCTTGGCTGTGAACCACGCTGCCTCCCACGGCACCCCAGCCTTCCCACCGCGAGGACCTGGGTAACTTCCTGTCCTCAAGAGGACAGACAGAAGACACCCAACCCACCAACTGTGCTTTCCCCCTGCCCCACTCACCAGCTATAACACTGACCGCTATAACACTGAACACTGTGTGCGGTGCCAGGCACTCTGCCTTAGGTGAGTTCATTCTTTTTGACCCTGACCGTGACCCATTGAGGGTATTACCAGGCCCATCCCCACAGAATAGCCGAAAGCTGAAGCACCAAACACTTAAGGGAATTGCCCAGTCACACAGCTGGAGGCTGGCTCCAGGCCCCTCCCCCCACCCCCATCTCTGGATCCTAAAGGGATTTGGCAGAGGACGGAGAAAGGCCCAGACACGGGAAAGGGTGCTGATAACAGGAAGCAGAGACGCGCTTAACCCAACCCGGAGGTGGCGTGGGGAAATCGTGGGTTCCGGTAGCTGAGGGTCTGTGAGTTCGTGAACCTCCAGAAACTGAGGGCAAAACTCTGTGTGGGGGTGCGTTTGTCACCATCTTAAGACATCTGTGATTCAGAGAATGGCTGCTGGGCCAGATGATTCTCCAAATTCGCTTCCAGCTCCCAAGCAAGCGTGGTTCTGTGACCATATAAGGCCACTGTGCCTGGGGAGTCTCACTGCAGCTGAGTGCAGTCCTGCACTGAGAGGGGGAAGCAGAGAGCAAAGGGAGCCCAAAGCCAGGCCCCCTGCAGGCTCCCACAGGCTGCAGAGAGGAGCTGAGGGTGGGGAGCCCGGGCCCCTCCTCCATTGCCTCTTCCCAGAAAGCTCAGACCCGCTCAGGTGGGCTTGGTGCCGCCCGCCCTCTCTCCCCATTTCCACTTGAGACCACCTCCCTCATTGCATTGCCAGGCTTCCGGAGTGCAGCTGGTGGCTCCTGTCCCAAGCAAGCGCTCAGGGCTGCAGAGTCAGCCGTTGCTTGATCCCCACGTTTCTTCTGGTTTGGTGGCTTGGAGCACCTCTCAGAGCCCCTGAGTGTTGGGTGGGCACCAAGGCAACAGCAAGCTTGGCCTCCCTTTGCTACCATGGCGCTGCGGGCATAAGAAACCTGGTGGGTTCCTACCCCGTGGAGAAGGGTGGGTGTGCATCTGTGTACTCTTGGCTCATGTGGTTATGTCCCACTTTCCCTGAGTACTGTCCAGAGCCCGCCCTGTGCTGGCCAGTGTAGAAAGGGGGACCTGAGATGTGGTATCTGACCTCTACGAGCTGACAGCCTGGTGGTAAAGACAGAAAAATAAACAAGCCTTCTAGGAGATGACCTCTGAATATTATTCTCATCAAGGTACAAAACATGACTCTTGGTTGTAAGTGACAAAAAGCCAAGTCAAATTAGCCTATGCAAAAATAAGAAGGAATTGTTGGGCTCGTATCACGCAGAAGTATAGGGACAGAGTGGGCTTCAGGCATGGTTGGTCCCAGCGGCTCAAGTGATATCTCCAGGACTTGATTTTGCACTGTCACTCAACCGTGTAGATGAAGATTGGTTTTTCTGGGGCTACTGCAGTGTGAGATGCCACTGGCTGTAGCTGGGGTGCCCCGTGCAGCCTCACTCCTGCTCTCCCAGTCCAGGACCCAGACCTGGGCTGTCGCAAGAGACCAGACTCCCCTGGGCTGCCTCTCCAGCCTTTAGCCAGACACCTCCTTTCCTGGCCCCACTCTCCTCGCGCTGATCTTGTCGGAGGTGCTTGCTCTGGACTCCCTGGGAACTTGCACGCAGGGACCCAGAGGAGAAAAAGCAGCCCTACCTTTCAGCATCTTGCCTGATGGTCACAAGCAGGGCTCGAATGCCATTATGACACCTAACCAACTGTGTGACCTTGGGTACGTGGCTTAACCTCTCTGAGCCTCAGTTTCCTCGTCTGTAAAAAGGAAATAATCGTTTTTATCTCCTAGAATTGTTTTGCATACTAAATGAGAGGGTGCCTGTGAAGCACTCTGGCTGGTCAGAACTGGAACACCTCCCAGCCTTGATAAGCTTTGGGAAGTTTCACCGTAACAAGCTCCCTGACCCTCCTTCCTTGCCAAGCCTGTGAAGTCTCCCTATTCAGCCAGAGTTAGTGGGACCCGTTCGGACCCCTCTCTCTCTGTAGTTTTCTCTCTCGGGTGCTCTGCCCCTCAAGCCTTCCTGAACTCTGATCTCGCTCTCATTAGCTCCGTAAGACCACTCTGCTCTCCTCGGTTCTCCCCCTGCACTGTGGTCTGGTAAACTCCTCCAGGCAGAAGGCCGGGGCTGTCCAAGGGCTTAGCGCGTTCAACTCCCTTCTCTCCGGGATCACAGTCCTGCACTGCCCACTCTCCAGTGTCTGAAAACACTTGTTTCATACATTTTGTCCAGTTTTCTCGTTGTTTACAGTGGGAGCTACCAAGTCCCTTTGAAGTCCTCTGTGGTCGTGCACCAATGATCCAGATCGGGTTATACTCCCTCGAGAGATTTGTATAAAAATGGAATTAGGACTAATAAAAGTCAGCGGAAAGTCAAGCGGGTCATTCTGATCTGTTTCTGTGAGAAACTCGGGGTAAAGACCCACAACCCAGCACCAAGTCAAATCTGGCAACAGGAATTATTACCGACCATCAACTGATGGATGAATAAATGAAATGTGGCATAGCCAATAAAAATAAATGAAATAGTGATACATGACATGACATGGGTGAATCTTGAAAACATTACGCTAAGGGAAAGAAACGAGTCACAAAAGACCACATCTTGTATGATTCCATTTATATGACGTGTTCAGAATAGGCACATTTATGACGATGAAATGCAGATTAGCGGCTGCTTACTGCTGGGGTCCAGGCTGGGGAGTGACTGCTATGGGAATACAGTTTCTTTTGGGGGGACAAAGATGTTCTAAAATTGGATTGTGGGGATCAGTCGTTACCTAACATTTTGAATACACTAAAAAACACTGAATGGGTGGATTGGACGATATGTGACTTATCTCTCCATAGAGCTGTTTTTAAAATATTGTTAGCAGTTTTCTCCTGTAATGAAGGAATGGAAAGGGGCTCTGGCGAGGTGGGAGGGAAGTCTCAGCTCTTATACGGGGTATGGGCACATTTCCCACGGTGCTCAATCTCAGAGGAGCTTGCACAGCTGATTAGGAGATGACCCGTGTCGGAGGTTAGTCTTGATATATTCATTGCTCTTTCTTAATTACTTCACCTGTAAGCATATTCTTTCAAAGTTTGAGTTTTATCCCCTCTTTCCAGCTTCCTCTCCTATCCGGAACCTTGTCAGCCGTGAGCATTTATTGAGTAGCCGCCATCTGCAGGGAGAAGGGACATTAGGGCATGTCTAGCGTTAACCCTGGTCTCAGTGGAAACTGAGAACAGGAGGGCAGGGAGCACGTAGCCTCTGAGAACTGTGATGTCCCCTTCATAGCCTCTGTGTCACTGTTCAGAGCCACTAGAGTAAGGGTGACACAATGGGCAGACCCCAACCAAGGATGGAAGACTAGGTAAACGTCTGTTGACTGTTCTGTTGTCAAAGATGAAAATGGTTACTTTTGAGTGGTCCTCTTCCCTTCATGAAAAGCACTGTGAGTTTTCTGTGAAATGAAACAAAATTTGCAGGCTTCTTATGGGGTCTTCAAAAAAGTGCTCCTGAGTAGGTATTTAAGACCCTGAGCTTGATTTAAGATTAATAGCTAACATTTATTGAGTGCTTAGTGTGTGTGTCTCCTGTTCTGAGTGCTTTCAAGTATCATCAACACCTTGTTGAGTGATGGGTCTTTCACATGTATATAGACAATGTAAAAAGACTGAATCTCTTTTTTCCACTATTCTGTTTTTCAGATACATGTTCAGTAATTGTGATAGATTTTTTTCTTCATGTTTTATGGTATTCATGCAGCAGCTCAGTAATTCAGCATCCAACTTGGACCTAGCCCTCAGCCAGCTAAACCGGGGGTGGGGGTGGGGGCCTGGGGGCTTCACACGCCCGGCGCTCTCAGTGCTGCCGAGTGACAGCAATGCACTCATCAGATGTGGTGTGTGTGTTTTTCTCTAGGATTATCCATGAAGATGGCTTCTCGGGAGAAGATGTGAAACAGTACAAGCCTGTCGTCTACAGCAACACTATCCAGTCCCTGGCAGCCATTGTCCGGGCCATGGACACTTTGGGCATCGAATATGGTGACAAGGAGAGAAAGGTAGGCCACTGAGTCCAGAGGCACCGCGAGGGAAGGGCTGTCTCCATTACCCCCACTGCATCCTTTCTAGAATGCCGGCTACCTTGCAGGGACACGAAGAAACTGAGTTGTGTGTGAAAGAGAAAGCTAGCCAGCATCCTAAGCCAGAATACCATTCATTCCACCTGGCAGGTGCGAACAGGGGCTTCACGGACAGGCAGACCTCCCAGCAAAGCCACCAACAGCCCTAGAATTCCAGGGCGAATTGTGCAGATGAGAAAGGGCTGGGTTGGTGACTGTTCTAAATTGGGACTCATACAACACTGTCCAAGCAGATGCCCTTGGGCAGTTAACTTGAACAGAAAAAAATGTTTCTTAAGCATAACAGCCTTACGGGCCACCGTCCCCTCCTTAGTAGAGCTTTCGTGCCTTGGGGGGGGGGGGGGGCAGCCGTGTGAATTGACTGTTTCCTCCCCTACACCGAGGCATGTTCCTGCCTCAGGTGAGCCTGAGGACCTCAGGGGCTCCCCTTCCTGTAGGAAGTGGACATCCTAGAACAGGGACTTGCTCACTTGAGTTTCTAGGCATCTGATAAGTGGTGGATGGAATAAGTATATAAAAGCCTCTTATTTGCAAACATTTGCATTCATTGTAAGATTGAACTTTATACAGCTACACGGGCAAAGCTAAATTAAAGGGAGGGAGGGAAGGAGGGAAAACAGCCTCAGGAAATTCTATCCAGAGGCGGCTCTTGGTCCCCTGGTGGGATTTTGAGTCCCAGCAGTCCCCTCCCTGTGACGTGGAGCAGGGGAGCAGGTGGAGGCCTCCAAGTGCTTGGGCCCCACATTGGAGCCTCTGGATGGAGAGCATTGACCTCTGATTACTGTGTGATTCGGTTGTGTGTTATACACATACCCTGACTTTGCTAAGAATCACCTCCCTCACCGAGGAAACCCATCCTCACCTCTCAGCCTGATAAATCATCTGGGACAGATAAGATAGCTTTAAATGTAAAATTCAGTATTTTGTGCACAAATTTCTAATTCCATGGGACAGAGCCATCGCAGCTCAGGCCTGGGCCCCTCCAGGTACAGGGGAATTGGATGACACAGTGTGTCCAAGGCCAGCCTGGGGCGGGACAGCAGGGCGAGGGCAGGAGGGCTCAGGCTGAGACCAGAAGCTGGTTCTGCAGAGGAAGCACTCCTCCCCTGGGGGACAGGCTTTGGGTTGGGTCATAGAGCCAGGGCCTATGCAAAGGGGCGCTGCCAGTTTATTCAGCCTCGTTTCCACTGAGCACCCACCGAGGGCTTACAGTGAACCAGGCGCTGGCTGGCTGCTGGGGCTAAGGAGTGCGCACAGTGGGAGTGGTGCCCAGACAAAGCAGCCAGCGCGTACCTACTCACATCATCAGAGGAGCCAAGACGGTTATAGGCTTCATTCGTTTTGGTAATAACGGCCACAGTGGCAACACAAACAGCTGCCTTTGAGCACCTACAAGCTGCCAGGCTCTGTGCTAAGCACTTTACATGCGCTGACTCACTTTTATTAACTCAGTCAGCAAAGCCCAGAGTGGGAGATGCCTGTCCGATCTTCACAAATAGGACAGGCCACAGGCCGTTGGTCTCTCTGTCTCCCTTTTAGCCAAAGAAAGAGCACGGTGCCTGAATCTCGGTTAACCAGATGACACACACTTTGCAAAGACTCATGTATCCACAGCACACCCCTAACACGCGTGCACACACACACACACACACACACACACACACACACACACGGCTTCAGAGATCTTCCAAGAGGGTTTGTGTTCACCGCCATGCTGTTTGGATGTTGGGAGAACCACCCACGCCAAGCAGACCCAGCTTGGTGTCTTGGTCCCTAAAGAAAAGCTCTCCTCCCGTCTCTTGGCTTCCCCACCCCCGTCATTCTCCCCCACCCATCACGGGGGATCTGGAGGAAGACAGCCCCACACCCAGCGCCGGCTTGAGCCAGCCAACTTTACACTCTTCATTCAGAGAAGCGTCTAGAAGCTTCCCTGCTGTACCTCATTAGAACAGGTGTCCCTGACTTGTCCTGGCAGCTGGCTCACCACCTGCCCTGGCCCCCCAGTGGACAGAGGATGGACTGGTTTTTCCCTTGACGGCTCTGTGTTGTGGACTCACCTGAGGCCACATGACTGTCCGTGAGCCCAAGCCTGAAAGAGCCTCCGTGTGGGGCTAACAGCAGGGACCCCTCACATTAGCCTGGGGCTTCCACACTCCGTGACCCAGCTCCCAGACCACAGACCCCGCCGCAAGGACACCAGCAGGCCTGTGCTCCAGGCCTTGGCTCAGGCCGTGCCCTCTGCCTTTAATGCCCGTCTCTTCTCTTCCTCCTGGAACCCCTCCCGTTCAGTCAGGACCAGTTCAACCCCCATCTCTTCCGCAAAGCCTTACCTCTTCCGCCCCCTCCCCCTCCCCCCCACCCTCGGCAGCTTCCTCTCCACTGAGCATGTGCCTCCTGCGCTGGTGTGAAGACTGGTTGTTTGTGTCACTCTTTCCTTAGAGCAGTGACCCATGTACGTTAGGGTGGTCAGCACCCATGTGAGCCGCTGATGAAAGCCATGAGCCTTCTCTCCAGGACAGCGCATACATGCCCACATCTAGGAAATTCTGCATACGATTTCAGGGCGCTCTGGAACTCATGCAGCCCGCCAATGGCACCTAGAATAAGAGCTCCTTCATAATTTAAGGTCCTTCTCTGCTCAAGGCCTGTGTCAGTCACCCAAAGGTCACCGCCTCACCCCCAACAACCAGCACAGTGCCCAACACATACAGGTCTCCAAAAATAACCCCTTGAGTGGAGTAGCATTTCTAACATTCCCAGTTTTCAGAGAAAAAAGGAAAAGTACCTGTAAGTTCATCACTAAATGAATAAATGCTGATTGAGTACCTACGATGTGTAGGCTTTGTGCTGAGCCCTGTGTAAAGATTCACAGGTATGTGAGACGGGGCGTTTAAGGAGTCGGTCATCTTCTTGGGAAGACAGGGCTCACGGGCTGAATGAGCTCGGCCATCCAGCAAGAACACGTCTCAGAGGAAGCGAGGCTGGAACTGTGCTCCAAGCAGAGCAGTGGCTCGGCAGGCGCAGATATGGGTGAGGGAAGGGATTTGAACAGGAAGAACAGGAGTGAAAGCAGCGGGTTGATAGTGGCCAGAGGCGGGTCAATTAACAGAGGAGGCCAGTGGCCAGAGAACAGAGGCTTAAGACATGGGTGAGGTGTGGGAAGGTTAGAAGATACAGTTAGGTCCAGACTGGGTGGGCCTTGGAAAGCATGCCAGAGAGTTTGGGGTTTGTCCTGTTGGTGGTAGACAGCCAGCCATTGACAGATTTTGAGCTGGAGCGGGATTGGATGAAAGAAAGTGAGCTGTAGGGAGTTACGGCGATGGCACGTGCAGGACGGACTAGTCTAGTCAGGGAGGGAGTGATGGAGGGGGGCCAAGCTGGGAAGCTGCAGTAATGGACCACCACACGGTGCGGGGGTCTGGTGAGGGCTGGAAACAGAGAGCAGCAAACCGGAATGGCGACTAATTGGCTACTGGGGCAAAAGGATACGGGTCAGGAAACGGGGACTCTAGTGTTACCAGCCTGGCTGACTGAGAGCAAGGTGAAGCCTCAGGCAGAAAGTCAGGAGATGGGGCTGGGCTGGGCCAAACACGGTGAGTCTGGTCTCCACCCAGTGTGCTTCCCTGGGTGGGAGTGGTCAGCCAGTAGGTGGGCTCAGAGCTGAAGTTCTCAGTTTTTATGTGCCAGGACCTGTTTTAAACAGTTCACATGAATTAAATGATTTAATCCTAACAGTTCGCTGTGCGGTGGGTACTGTTGTTATCCCCATTTTACAAGTGAAAAACCATGAGGCGCAGAGACACTAAGTGACTTGCCCAAGGCTGTGCAGTACAAAACGTATCCATATACCCTGTAGACGTGTAACCCTAATGAAACTATAACCCAGAGCAGAGCCCCATTTAAACAGGCACCTGACGATCAGGCAAAACAAATCATTAAAAGAATCCTGTGTTTTTTTCCTAAGTTTCTCTAACAAAATGAAAAAGGACCCCAAGGCTAACTCCCACTGCTTTTCTCACATAGCCTTTCTGTCTTCCTCAAGTCTGTCCCCCCTCTGTCCCCCCCCCACTCTCCTGAGCTGCTCCAGAGACCCTCTGTCTGCCCCTGGCCTGTAAGACTTCCCTGTCTTGCCCCCTCCGCCTCTCTCTCCCACCTTCTCCCTCCTCCTTCCTCCCTCACCCCTCTGCTTATAAGGGGGTCCCTCTCTTTCTCTCCCTCCCTTCCTCTCCTCATCTGTTCCTCTCCCTCCACCCCTCCCTTGCTCCCCCCTCCTGCCTCCCTCCCTTTCTCTCTCTCCACCTCCCTCCTTCTCTAACTCCTTTTTTTCTCCCTCCCTCCTCACCCTCCAGCTCATTAGCATATAAATTGTCTTAACCTTTTAAAGGGAAGTCTTGCCTGGTCCCCCTTCTCCAGCCTGGGTTGCATCTGCATCACAAAAGCAGGGAAAATTGTCTAGAACTGTCTAAGCTCAGACACTGGGAGAAAGGGTCAAGGAAACGGGACAATTACAGGATTAGAAGGTTCACTTAGAAAGTCTGTGAACACCCCCATCCCATGTCAGTGAATTTTCACACATACACATGTGAATTTTCACACATACACATGCACGTGCACATGCACACGGATATAGATAGATAGATAGATAGATAGATAGATAGATAGATAGATAGATAGATAGATAGATATATCTATATCTATATATATATACACACACACACACACACCCATACATACATACATAAAATGCTTGCATGTATATACTTGCATGTATAGACTATATTGTGAGCTAATAAGACAGTAGTGAAGAAGTAATGCCTTGAACTTGTGAGGTTTTAGTCAGTTGAAACTACTCATTTTTTCACCATTTGTGCATATGCCTATTTCTCTCACTAAATTGTAAACTCCTTGAAGGACAAAATGTAGATCTTCTTCATCTAGTACAATGC